TCAAAAAAGTACTCCAGAGTGTTGTTCAGCATGGGGGTGAGTAGAAAATGAAGGCTAATCATGTTTTGGGTGTACTATTCCTTTAACATACGTATATTCGGAACACATTTTTGGCCTAAAAAAAAATTGATTGTCATTATTTCTACACAGTAGAAATTGAATTTGTTATTTTCTGTAAAAGCTAAAAATTCACGTGATTACATTTTCAATACTTATTTTTCAGTTTAATTGTTCAGTGTTAAAAAAATCTGCATTTAAAAAAAATTCAACCTTTCAAAATTCAAACTCAATATTTTCATCCTCCTGAGATTCAACTGGCTCTATTTCACCGTCTTAAATTCGGCGTCTAAATTCAGTTTAAAAAGTAAGGGGTTACTTCAGGTCACAGACATTAGCGATGGATTGTGGCGTCCAACACCCAGCCAATCCTGTTACGTTTTCTTAGTCACGTGACGTGACGCTTGCGGCGCTCATACCGAAGGAAAACCAGCATGACGGAGCCGGTCATGTAAGCTAACGCTAACTCAGCCACAGAAAAATGAAAGTAATAAACTCACCGTTGAGTTAGCGTTAGCTTACATGACCGGCTCCGTCATATCCTTCGGTATGAGCGCCGCTAGCGTCACGTCACATGACTAAGAAAACGTAACGGGATTGGCTGGGTGTTGGACGCCACAATCCATTGCTAATGTCTGTGACCTGAAGTAACCCTTCCCTTTTTACACTGAATTTAGACGCCGAATGTAAAACCGCAATTTATAAAGGAATACAATTCGTAAAAAATCAATCAGAAAAAGAAAAAATTTGGAAAGAAAAAAGTTTATCTAAATACAAAATCTCTAAATCATTTGAAATTTCTCTTTAAATAAAAAAAAGAAAATTATTTTAAAACAAAAACCTCTGGGAAACAGCAAAGATACTATTTAGCAAAGATCTACCTTTTCATACGTAGTTAAAGGTATAGTGGAGGATTTTCGCAAAATTTTTGAAAAGACCCGCCCTCTACACTTAAAAAAAATGCACATGCACAACCATGTACTCGCTCCCAAGAGGGAACACCTATTAAACGAGTGTGAGAGCCTGCAGGAAGCCATTTCTCCTTCTGCACACCCTATATAAAAGTAGCTGTTTGCGTCGCTCATACAAGCTTACTTTCCAAAAGAAGATTTTAAATTTTTCCACTATGTCAGACTCACCACCAGCAAGGGAAAATGGGGATGAGCACGTAGGATGGCCTTAAGTTAGGATGATTACCAGGACCAATTATTTAGATAATCCACCCAGAAAAAGAACATCCTCCACTTATACCTTTTCATTTTAATTTCAATTCAGTTCATTTCTATAGCGCCAAATTCACATGTCATCTCAAGGCACTTTACAGTTCAACCAGATCATACAATCAAATTGATACAAAGTTTTCTATCTAAGGAAAACCAGTTGATTGCATTTACTCAAATACAATCCCTCACATTAAGTATGCTTGTAGCGACAGTGGAGAGGAAAAACTCCCTTTGAACAGGAAGAAACCTCCAGCAGAACCAGGCTCAGTGTGAGCGGCCATCTGCTGAGGCCCACTGGGGTTCAAAGAGACAGAAGCAGACATAGAAAAAGAAGCATAGATACAAAAAGCGGCTGTAAAAGGCGGCCCCTTTAAGAAAATATTTTTACGACTTTTTTATGATTTCCATTTACAAACATGTTGTTTTTAACTATTTCAAATGTGCATTTACTGTACGTGTTATATGCTTACAACAATAACGGAACATAATTCCACATTAGGCTTTCTAAACCTAGAAGTTGCAGGTATAGTGCCCCCAGTGGCCATAAGTTAAATTATATTAAAAAATGTTAAGTTTGCAGAAGACTGTTCAATTTATCTCCAAAGAATGTTTTTTTTTGTGAGTTTTTACAGCCATAGAGGCTCGTTTTTCTGACAGTAGGCTGACAGGAAGGGGGGTATGAGACATACAGCAAAGGGACCACAGTCAGGATTCGAACCCGGGTCGGCCGCGTCGAGGTCTAAGGCTTCCCTACATGGGTCGTGCACACTACCGCCTAAGGTTTAAGTCAAACACAACTGCAAAACTACCACCTCCACTCCTATGTTCATCAACAAGATGGGCAAGAAAAGCTTGAATCAAATAAGCAGCTAAGAGGTACCTCTGGAGGAGCTGCAGAACCCACAGCTTAGCTTTTTGCTGAGACTTTGGTCCCTAAATGTCCAAAGCTAGTATAGATATGCCCCTTCAATGCTTGCAGATGTAATTGCAGCAGTTAGCTCTGAAACGTATTAACTCAAGGGGCAGAATGTAAATAAACACCTCACCATTCAAGCTTTGTTTGGTCCACCGACATTAAAACCATCCTTATCTAATGTTTAACGTGTGCCACATGTCAAAATGCCCTGATGGAAGCCTATCAAGATGAAAACTCTAGATGACTGTTAGGAATCGCCCCGCCGGTCGAGCAGCCGGGCCCGCCTGGTTCGCCGCTCTAACCGAATCAGATATGATGGGTCTGAGAGCGTCAGTCAGCGCTGGAACAGCCAATGAGATCTTAGCGGACGTCGTGTGTTTATGTTAAGAGTCTTCGCCGTACAGCGAGCGCCTTCCCACATAATGACTTGTTTTAGTTCAACTTTGAACTCTCCTGAAGCGGAGCAGAAACCACAGAGGTCACACCGCCAAGAGTCCTGACACAGACGGTTCCTGAGTGAACACAGCTGAATTTCACAGGTCACTGCTTGATTCTGAAGAAAAACTATCTAATTCATGAGGCTATTAGCACTGCAATGGACATTAACTTATTTACAAAGTTGTCATCTCCATCCTGACCTGCTGTTCCTATGCTGTGGGATGAGTCTGGATTTTGTTAAAAAATTACTGAATATTTTTATTTGATTTACTGTATTTTTAAACACTGCAAAAAATTAAAATCTACATAAGTCATTTTTTCTTGAATTGAGGAGGTAAAAAGAGACACTTTGCCCATGGAACAAGACAATTTACATTTAAAATTAGAAAACACAATTGCATTGTCTTATTTCAAGTGCATATTATCTAATTATCTTATTTTTAGACTAAAAATACTAATTCCATTGGCAAATTATCCCATTTACTTACTCAAATTAATGGTAAATACACTTAATTTTTTCTCATTTTTAGATGGTTTTTGCAGTGAAGGAGAAAGCAGATTAACAAAAAACGGTGTGGTTGAAAATATGCCCGTTAGCCAAATGGCTACACTGCAAAAAAGGAAAATCTATACAAGTGTAATAAACATGAATTCAGCATTTTGGCCTTATTACACTTGTTTTTCAATGTATTTTCTTAGTAAGACTTAATATTGTTAAGATTATTTGACTTGTTTTAAGAAAATTCATCTTTTCCATCCTAACTAGATAATAAAACTAATTCTGAGCAGCTTTTTTTCTTAAAATAGCACACATTGCGTTTTGTGTCATTTGGAGCCGTATTAAAGATATTCTGTTAGGTTATATCCAAGTAACTTCTTCCTATGGGCAACGACTGAAGACACAAACTAAACTGTTCATCATTTATCATTTATGGTACGCCAGCATTCATAACGTAGGCGAATCACTGTCCCCCAGACATCCGCGGTTATATTTTTTATATTTATATGTTTTAAAAAACATATTTTTCCCATACATTAACTACACCTAAATAATGAAATTAATTCTAGCTAAGAAAAACAGACTAGTTTAAAGCCTTTAAATGAACTGCTTGTTTTGAGCAATAATTGGTTAGAGGACATTTAATTCTAAGCAATAATGACTAATAAATGAGAATAAATTGCTTACAATAACAGAAAAAATCTTAACAAGTAAAAGAAGAAATAGATTTTTCTACTTGATTTAAGTTTTTTTGGATGGTTACTACTTCGATATTATGTTCTTGTTTTAAGAAATCTTACCAAGTCTCATTTGCTTGCTGCACTGGCAGATTATTTTGCTCAAAATAAGCAATTATTCACTTAAAACACCTTATATTTTAGAAGGCATTTTTTGTTGTGTAGTATTATGTAAAGTCAGAATTCCACTAAAAAGGGAGCGGGCATAATAAATGCTGTGATGTGGAATTTTTCATCTAAAACACACGTATATAAACTACTCTACATGCATATTTTACATCATGCAGATTATATATAATGAGGCGG